TTAGTTTTTCGGGAGATAATTGATGAGTGAGCAAATAGATAGATATGAACAGAATAGATTATAGAAACGAACAAACTAGGATAGATAGATAGAGAGATAGATATGAACCGACTCAGATAGATAGATAGATAGCAAGAAACAAGCCGAGATAGATAGATAGATAGATAGATAGATAGATATATAGATAGATAGATAGATCTGAACAGACAGATTTGAACACATTGTGATAGATAGATAGATAGATAGATAGATAGATAGATCTGAACAGACAGATTTGAACACATTGATAGATAGATAGATAGATAGATAGATAGATAGAGATAGATAGATAGATCTGAACAGACAGATTTGAACACATTGTGATAGATAGATAGATAGATAGATAGATAGATAGATAGATAGATCTGAATCTGAACAGACAGACTTGAACACATTGTGATAGATAGATAGATAGATAGATAGATAGATAGATAGATAGATCTGAACAGACAGATTTGAACACATTGTGATAGATAGATAGATAGATCTGAACAGACAGATTTGAACACATTCTGATAGATAGATAGATAGATAGATAGATAGATAGATCTGAACAGACAGATTTGAACACATTGTGATAGATAGATAGATAGATAGATAGATAGATAGATAGATCTGAACAGACAGATTTGAACACATTGTGATAGATAGATAGATAGATAGATCTGAACAGACAGATTTGAACACATTGTGATAGATAGATAGATAGATAGATAGATAGATAGATAGATAGATAGATCTGAACAGACAGATTTGAACACATTGTGATAGATAGATAGATAGATAGATAGATAGATAGATAGATCTGAACAGACAGATTTGAACACATTGTGATAGATAGATAGATAGATAGATAGATAGATAGATAGATAGATAGATAGATCTGAACAGACAGATTTGAACACATTGTGATAGATAGATAGATAGATAGATAGATAGATAGATAGATAGATAGATAAGTAGCAAGAAACAGACCGAGAAAGAAAGAAAGAAAGAAAGAAAGAAAGAAAGAAGGAAATAAACAGACTGAGAAAGATACAAGCCGATACATATAAATGCAGAAAGTTCGATTCATAGCAAAATTTTAAATAGAATTTACATATCGTTGGTAATTCGGATTTTGCAAGTATTTTCTAAACACAATGGCCCGTGAGCGAATTTACATTTCCGAACATTTATCTGAAAAATATCAGCTTTAATAGAGATGGCAACATCATGCAGATACAGACGTCTGTGTCGTGTTTGAGCCGACGAGGGACAAATACAACCCTTCTATACGGACACAGGTTGGAATAGCAATAGATGCCTTCCAAAAGCTATTTCTCATTCTCAGAAACAGGAAAATTCCGTTGCAAAGAAATGATTTGAGAACACCTAATTGAAGGCAACAAATTCAGTTCTACAGAAGGATGCTGTGAAATCCATCAACAAAACGCGTAATCCACGAAGACGTTTTTACAAGGCTCAATACGCTCCAATGTTACAGGGCTCAAGAGTCACTCCAGGTAGCATGCTAAATATTACGAAGCGCCACCCAAGCACGGTGTAATGCCATCAAGAAGAAAAGGATCACCCGGAGTGAAAGAAAGGGAAAATACTTCAGAGGGAACCGGAAAACCAGTCCTAAAGAAGACTTAAGGGACAAAACCTCTACTCCTGTTCAAAAACCATGGAGGAGTGTGAACTGGGCGGTGCTAAAGCTATATACATCTGTTGAAGAAAATAATATAAATAAATAGTAAATAAGTGTTCAATGTTTTAGTTAGAGTTGTTAGAAGTCGGTCTTATAAGGAAACGGATAGCCAATCCTAAAAAGGAAAAAAGGGATGAAACTCTTATATTGTTCAAAAGAACAAAAACGGTATTTATACTCAAAATCAGTTAGAGACAAGTGGAAATTATTGGATGCATTATGAGAAAGTAGGGCTTGGAGAATTTGACACTCTTAAGACGAAGAAAAACATGCGACAGGGGGGGAAGCTTTTGTGAATGGATGATTAAGCTTATGATGGGAGGCGTGCCAAACGGACAAATTTTGCTAAAAGCTACAGAGGATAAGATATTGTGGAGGCCCAAGTCTTGTATAGACATGCCATAAAGAAGAAGAAGAAGAAGAAGAAGAAGAAGAAGAAATGAAGAAAGAAGAAGAAATGAAGAAAGAAGAAGAAATGAAGGAGAAGAACGAATGAAGAAGAAGAAATGAATAAAGAAGAAGAAAGAATAATTCGAAGAAAAAATGAAGAAAGAAGAAGAAAAATGAAAAAGAAGAAGAAATAAGGGAAGAAGAAGAATTGAGAATGAAGAAGAAATGAAGATAAGGAAATGAAGAAGAAGAAGAAATGAAGAAAGAAGAAGAAATAAAGAAAAAGAAGAAGACGAAAAAGAAGAAACAAAGAAAGAAGATGAAAAAATGAAGAAAAAGAAGAAGAAATAAGAAATGAGGATGAATAAGAAATGAAGAAGATGAAGATATGAAGAAAGAAGAAGAAATGAAGAAAAAGAAGAAATAATGAAGACGTAGAGAGAATGAAGAATGAAGAAGAAATGAAGAAGACAAAATGAAAAAGATGTAGAAACGAGGAAAGAAGAAGAAATGAAGAAGAAATGAAGAAGAAATGAAGAGGAAGAAGAAATAAAATAGAAGAATAAGAAGAAGAAGAAATGAAGAAAGAAGAAGAAATGAAGGAGAAGAACGAATGAAGGAGGAAGAAGACATGAACAAGAAGAAATGTAGAAGGAAAGAAGAAATGAAGAAGAAGAAATGAATGAAGAAGAAGAAAGAATAATTCGAAGAAAAATGAAGAAAGAAGAATAAAAATGAAAAAGAAGAAGAAATAAGGAAAGAAGAAGAATTGAAAATGAAGAAAAATGAAGATAAGGAAATGAAGAAGAAGAAGAAATGAAGAAAGAAGAAGAAAAATGAAAAAGAAGAAGAAATAAGGAAAGAAGAAGAATTGAGGATGAAGAAGAAATGAAGTTAAGGAAATGAAGAAGAAGAAGAAATGAAGAAAGAAGAAGAAATAAAGAAAAAGAAGACGAAAAAGAAGAAACGAAGACGATGAAAAAATGAAGAAAAAGAAGAAGAAATGAGGATGAATAAGAAATGAAGAAGATGAAGATATGAAGAAAGAAGAAGAAATGAAGAAAAAGAAGAAATAATGAAGAAGATGAAGATAGAGGAAGAAATGAAGAAAAAGAAGAAATAATGAAGAAGATGAAGATAGAGGAAGAAATGAAGAAAAAGAAGAAGAAATGAAGACGTAGAGAGAATGAAGAAAGAAGAAGAAATGAAGAAGACAAAATGAAAAAGATGTTGAAACGAGGAAAGAAGAAGAAATGAAGAAGAAATGAAGAGGAAGAAGAAATAAAATAGAAGAAGAAGAAGAAGAAGAAAAACAACAACAACAACAACAACCCTGGTTTCAAAATCCTTACCGTTTCACCCACCAGGTGATTATGTCCCTTGAAAGAAGAGGGGAAAGAAAAAAAAATGTGGTGGGGGGGAATAGAAAGATGAACATCTGAAATGTCATGCACTTTTCCCTTTTCAGCTTGTGGGCTTTGGGAAAAGTAAATTATAGATGAGTAAAGAAAAGAGCAAAATACAATTTTATGAGGACAACATAGTGAATTGAATCTCACAACGTTATTGCAAAAGAATGAAAAAAAAAAAAAACATGTCTCGAACATGAAAAAGTATTTCTTCTTTGTGTGTAATTATATTTTTCCTTTATTTCTATATTTCTTCAATTTCTTTCCTAAGGCCGGAAGGAAAAATGTCAGTAAATCCATTTCCCAAAGGCATGATATTTCAAAGACTGAAAGAGTAGGAGGCATTGTAAGTTTGCCAGTGAAGAAGGATCTATTGAAAAGGAAAATAAACGCATTTTTTATGATTGTACAGTTATATATATATATATATATATATATATATATATATATATATATATATATATATATATATATATATATATGAGGACATATAGCTGCGTGTGTGTGGGTTGTTGGGTGCGTATGTGTGTGTGTGTGTGTGTGTAAGTCAGTCTCCTACATTCAGAAAGTTGTGACAAAAATGGAGTGCCAATACGTTTGCGAATAAAAAGGGAAATAAATTAAATTTCCCTGATTTTACACACACACACACACACACACACACACACACACACACACACACATATATATATATATATATATATATATATGAGATCCTTCAGTTACCAGCACTTCCAATGTTTTTATGGAAAGTGACAGCGGTGGAGAGTACGTTTCAAATTATGTTCTTCTTCAAAAGCGGGATAAAAGGGCTGTTCCTCTCTCTCTCTCTCTCACACACACACAGAGACACACACACACACACACACACACAGAGACACACACACACACACACACACAGAGACACACATATTCCTCATATCGTGAATGCTACTGCTGATAATGCAAAGCTGTTCTATGAATCTAACAATCTGAGTCACTGCCGTGTTTATTCAAAAATAAATACGTAAAAATTCACCTCCCTCTCTGCCGTGATCTGATAGCTTAGAGTAAAAAAATCTTCGACTGATTCTAAACCAGTCGGGTTTCGATCCTGGCTTGACGCAACTGGATCTCTAGCCACACTGATGACCTGTGATACAGCGAAACAGTCTGTCTGTGGATGACAATACATATATATATATATATATATAAAAAGGGAAAAATGAAAATTGTGTATATATATATATAATAAAGGGAAAAATGAAAATTGTGTATATATATATATATATATATGTGCATACACATACATGTATATTTTTTGAATAAAAAAATTCGAGAGAGGATAGAATCTAGGTAGATATATATATATATATATATATATATATATATATATATATATATATATATATATATATATATATATATATATATATATATATATCGGGTGTAACAGTAAAATTTGTGTAAATTTGTAATTTGAGAGAGGATTTTTTCACTTATGTATATTTTTTTGAATAAAAAATTCCGAGAGGATAGAATCCAGGTAGAACTATATATATATATATATATATATATATATATATATATATATATCGGGTGTAACAGTAAAATTTGTGTAAATATGTAATTTGAGAGAGGATTTTCACTCATGTATATTTTTTGAATAAAAAATTCCGAGAGGATAGAATCCAGGTAGAAATATATATATATATATATATATATATATATATATATATATATATATATATATATATATATATATATCGGGGTGTAACAGTAAAATTTGTGTAAATAGTGTTACAGCATAATTGCCCATCCCACAAAATTTTTAATATCTAAAAGACCACCCTAACTAATTGAGTTTCTTTTCTCCGGGTTTTCAGATAAAACGTTTAGACAATTGTCGTAGGAATCACTGAAATACCCTTTGAGTTATTCAGCTAGAAAGAGAACAAGTTAAATTTAATTTTGTGTCAGACCCGCTGTCTTCCCAACTGAGTAATGGTGAGAAGAAAACGGTCATTCAGGCTTTCAGTAATGGTACCAACATTCATACTCTGGCTTCCATCTTCAAAGACCATTCAAGAACCATTAAGAGAACGGTGAATAAGTTTAAAAAAAGAGGGAACAGTAGGGAGATAATCTTGACCAGGATGTCACAACAGGCAGAGGGACCATCATTTCAACTTAGAGCTAAAATGATCAATTCAAAAAGATCCAACTCAATCTATAACATGTTAAGTCACGTGAGAGAGGATTTTCACTTATGACAGACTAAAGAGTGGTGACAAAAGACTTGAAAATGAAATCGTAAAACGTGTGAGCCACACTGGACAGAACGTTAGGAGGTTAGAGAGGATTAAGGTCATCTTCAATAAGTTGTAAAATGAACCAAGAATCAGAGGAGGGTGGAATGTCTTAGCCTTAGAAAGAAGAATATATATATATATATATATATATATATATTGAGGTTTTGTTTTATTTTCAGTGTGTAAAATGTCTTTATACTTATCACTCTTATGCTTTCCCTCATCTGCAAATGTTTCTTTTTTGTATTGTTTTTTAAACCGGAATATGATATGATTTCTAAATTCCAGAAAACTTAGACACATTTTCGTTTATCCTATCGTTGAACTGATTTTTTCAAACGTCGTCATCGTAAGCCATGTTTAAGCCGTCATTTGCGGGCCGCTTACAACACAAGCAATACCGCTTGCGGTACTATTCAAATGAACTCGTGTGTTTATTAATTACTGAATATTTTTAATAAACCGAATCCAAGACTGAAAGTTATTTTGCATAATACAATTTCTTTTATAATTATGGCTTCAAATATTTGCATATAATTACGCGTGCGCCTTTCGCTGTTATGTATAGATATGTAAGTGTTTATCTATCTATCTGTCTGTCACTGCTGACGTCAACATCGATTGTGCGGGATCGATTAGAATTACAAATTTCTACTGTTCATCACCGGCACCCACATCTGAAACCGGATTCATTTCCGCCGGGTGGACAATTCATTTCTTTGAGTTGGAACATAAATTTTAATGATGCAGTTCGGCTACAGGCTAACAATAATCAGAAAGACTTATGTTATCTTTTACAAATGAATTTTACTGTCTTGATAACTCTGGCTTTTGATGTAAGGCATCTATTGGTACACCATATCTCTTTCTCTCTCGCTCTCTCTCTCTCTCTCTCTCTCTCTCTCTCTATCTCTCTCACTGTTATATAACGATAAAAGAAAAAAAAATACTACGTTCTTAGAAATCGAAAACCAAAAAGAGTAAATTAAAATATACAGAATAATAAATAAATAATAAAAAAAACAAGTACAATAAATTAAACTAAATTCATCCAAATAAATAAACTAACAAACCGATCCTGATAAATTAACCGTTAGAAAAAACAAATAAAGATAATCAATCCAAATAGATACATGAAGTAATAAACAAATTAAAAACTACACCCTCCAAAATAATAGTTAGAATGAACTACAAAAAATAAACCCCAAATTGAATAAATAATAAATAATAAAAAACAAGTGAAATAAATTAATCTAAATTCATCCAAAATATTAAATAAACTAACAAACCAATCCCGATAAATTAACCGTTAAAAAAAACGATATTTTTATAGATACAATTTATTTAAGTAAATGCTGCTTATTTTATTTAAACAGTATTAGTTACATTTACCGAACTGAATGTTCTAGAAATTTCGTAAAAATATGCGTTCTTCTAGAGGAATCGAACCCATACGGAAACTGTCATTTGACCCGACGTGCTATACTATTCATATATATATATATATTTATATATATATATATCTTTTATTTTCTCTCTCATTCGCTCATTCTCTCTCTCTCTCTCTCTCTCTCTCTCTCTCTCTCTCTCTTATTCTCTCTCTCACTCTTTATTAGTTTCTTTCGGTCTTTCTCGTTTAATTTTCTCTCTCTCTCTCTCTCTCTCGTTTACTTTGTTGTTCTCTCTCTCTCATTCTCTCTCTCTTTCTCGTTTACTTTATTTCTTTCTCTCTCGTTTAATTTCTTTTTTTCTCTCTCTCACTCTTTTTCTTTCTCTCTCACTCATTTTCTCTCTCTGCGATGGATAAATTGTCATCTAAATTATGCAAAAAAAAACACTTTTTTGGTGGGGGGGATATTACTAAGCTTACTATTGGTGGGGAAGTGTTTATCAATTAGAGCTAAGAATTGCTGTCCTAGTTTAATACTAACCATTTGGTTGAACGGGGGGGGTATACCAAATGATTTTTTCTTTTCCTGTTTTTTCTTTTAGCCAGTGCAATTGTCTCTATAGTTAATGTTTTTATAACCACTATTTTTTAGGGCCGTGTTATAGAAGACATTGTGTTGGTGGAATATTTCCTTGTTAGCGGAGTTGATGCTAATTCTATTTTCTATTGATGAGGGTATATGTTTAATAATGGATGGAGGGTGTTTTGACTTCGGGTGTATATATAAAGGGTTAGCATTTGGTTTTCTATAAGGTTGGTATGTGTTGCCTGGTAAGTCTAGAGTAACGTCGAGGAAGAGTTACGCTGTTACCATGAAATTTTGATTACAATTTTTAAAACACGTAAATTTCAGAAATACGTTATTCCAAAAAAAAATTTCGCTTGAAGATGGAACAGAGCTTACTTTAACTCAATTTAATTCAAATAATTATATTGAAGTTTTCGGCTCTTGTTTTGAAACATGAGACCTCTTATGTCGCGAGTTGGAATCATATTTTTAAATAAATAATTATATATATATATATATATATATATATATATATATATATATATATAATTATCTTATGAAATCTTCAATGAATCATATTTAAAAATTAAGTCTATTTCTCTAATATACAACATATACCTACATTTATAAAAATTAATGTATATGATTTTAATCCATTATTTGTATTGCTTCAAGGTTATTTTTAGTGGGTAACCATGTTTGAAGTAGACGCCCAGTCTTTTTAACAATATGTTGAGCAAATTTTCTTCATAAAATTTTCTCGTGAGTGCAGGCAGATGGATATAATACGCCTTGTTTAAAATAAAATTGGCCCTCCTGGTTTAAATTGAATCGAGAATTTGTGGTCACTTAGCAAGGAAAGACTTCGTGGAATGAACATACGAAGTATAAAGATGTGCACTGGATTATGTTTCACCGGAAAAATACGAAAAATTTAAATAATAACGGAATCATTTGTTTTGTTTCAGCTAATTTTCACAAGGGTGTATATAAAGCCCGCTAAATATTAGTGACTCATGATCTGATGATCGCTTGAGATGTGAAACAGATAATCACCATATAGTGTTGATTCCTATGTAAATGGCTGCGACTCACCAGACTCTGATAGATATATATATATATATATATATATATATATATATATATATCCTGGTGCACGTGCCGCACACACACACACTGGTGCACCAGGTCTCTTTATTCGTCCCTTGAAAAAGTGTGGATGGTCCTGCACGAAACCTTCACCACTATAATCAAATCTCATGTGCTGTTGTCGGGTTGTCGGTTTCCTAGGAACTGATCTGCTTGATTCTCATACGTCGAATTCGATGGGAGAGTCGAGTATATATATATATATATATATATATATATATATATATATATAAAGAAAGAACAGTAAGATATATAATCCGGTGTTCTTATGGATATTTTTATTTTTACAAAATAGTGCTCAATGAAAATTTACAGAGCATTAATATTATAAATTAATTGATTTAAAATATGTTTTTTCGCTACACAGTTCTAACCATGTTTCAAAAATGGAAGCTAAATCTGCGAACTTAATTTTGTACAAAATTAAATTTGAAGCTTTTAGCTTCCATTTTTGAAACATGGTTAGAATTGTGTAGCGAAAAAAAAATCATATTTTAAATCAATCAATTTATAATATATATATATATATATATATATATATATATATATATGGAAAAGGTATTCTTGTGCCAAAATTTTATTTATAATGTTTTTTTTTTTCTTATTTACTTAATTATTTGGGCAATGGAAACATTTTTCCCATAGTTATCTGTTTCTATTCAAATGACTTGAAGACAACCGGAAATTGTTCAAATGTATTACTTGGATTACACCATCTTGTTGTTTTTATCGGAACACGCCGAGTTGATATGCCCTTCAGCATCAACAGTTTTCGTCCATCTTATTATTGTTGCTTTTTCACCCAGGACTATGTGTCAATACACCATTCATCATTACAATTATTTCATTATTAATCTCATCATTGATTTTTTTTCTCCAGCACTTTATACAATACATTCTTCATAATTACTCTTATCTTATTACTAGTTTTATTGCGTCTTATTGTTGCTTGTTATCCCAACACTCTGGCTCTATACACTCTTCTTTATTGCTATTATTTTATTGTTTTACTCCATTACATTATTGAAACTGTTAATCCCAACATTCTGAGTCAATACATATTTAATTATAATCATTGTTATAATATTATTTAAATTTATTATTGTTGAATTTCCTCAAAACTCACTAGGTGAATAGTATGCTATTCATTATTACTATTATTTTATTACTAGTTTGATTATTATTGATGCTTTTTATCCCGAGCACTCTCAGGCAATACAGTTGCGGAAGCGGAAATGGATAACCTAGAAGACAGAACCTTGTTGTTATTATTACTGTTGTGGAGGTTCCTTCTCTGCCTCGGTAAATGTCAATCCAAATGTCAAACGAAATGGACATTGAGTATAGGTAAATAAATTTATACTTTATTTACATAGTATGTCATTCACAGACAGTATTGTTTCGCTTTATCACAGCTCCTCAGTGCGACTAGACATCCGAATGCCTCAAGCCCGGATCGAAACCCAAACGACCAGTCAGAGTTTCTACCACTGAGCTATCTTCATTCAACAGAGAAAAACAACTAAATTTAGTGTATTGCTTTTACGAATATAAACAAATGCCATTTAGCCGGAGTGCTCCAACTCATTTTACTGAAGAACTTTGCATTAACGCAGGTGGGTGTTGTTTATAGAATTAGCTTATCACTCAACAGTGCTTAATTGAAACATATTTTCAAGAGATAGAAAGACTGGTAGCTTCTATCTGTTGTAGTTCCTGAATCAATAGGGCGAAAGAGTGGTGAAATGAACATGTGGTGGTGGTTGTCGTCGTTGTTGACGTCTCTCTCTCTCTCTCTCTCTCTCACACACACACACACACACATACACACACTCACTCACTCTCGGGTGCTGGTGTTGACATCAAACGCTGGTCTGTCTGAATTTGGGTATATACAGTTTTAATTCGGCTCGAAATTAAGGTTTTGGTTTTTGAGCGGATGTTGATCGGACTTGTCATAATATATTATTAATATTGTTGTGTTTTAAACGGATGTATGCGTGGAGTCGTTGTGCAGAAAATGTATTTGCGCATTCTGCTTTGGGTCGTTGAACAGTTAACATCCGTTTTGTGTAGAAAAGGCGCGATAATACACACATCATTATTACTATTATTTTATTACTTGTTTCATTCCATTTTAATATTCTTGCATTCTTTCCCAGTACTTTGGGTCAGTAGACACTTCCTTAGTATTATTTTAATAATAGTGTTGCGCTATCTTATGAAGGTTGCTTTTTATCCCAACACTACAGCTAAATACACTCTTCATTATTACTATTATTTTATTACCAATTTTATTCTGTTATTGTTGATTTTTTATTATAACATTCTAAATCAATAAACTCTTTATCAATACTTACATTTTATTAATATTGTAATTCCATCTTATTATTTGATTTTATTAAAAAAAAAGAATTTATGTCTGTACATTTTTCCTTGTTACCCAGATTTCATTATAGTTTATATCCCTTCTTCTTATCCTTGCTTTTTTATCCAAACATTCTATGTTTAGACTTTCTTTGTTGATCCTATTATGTTTATCTTTCTATTTCATTATTAATAACTCTGTCGTTGCTGATGACGTGTACGGCTCCTATTGGTGATAAATACTCGTCGTTGACGGAATCTTTGGCATAAATGACTATCTTATTAATGAACTTAGAGTGATTAACAGTTTTCAACCAACAAATTGTACAGGCGTTATGTCTGTAGTTACCTTAAACTTGATTTGTTTGGCAATGTTCAATATTCATAAGCGGTCAAATTGGATGCCTTTTATTCAGTAAACCAAATCTCTTATCCTAATCAGTGCTCTTCAACGTGGACATAACTTATTCACTAAGTTTTGCTATATTCTTAATTTTATCATTACAGGGGAGGTTTTCTGGTGGGTGATCACTAAAGTAAGAGGTGGACAGTTTTTTTTCTCGAATAATCCTCATGTTTGCTTTTATCTTGTTAGTTGCCCGAGCACTATCCAGAAAGTATCTACCTTTATTAAATATCTCTAGAACTGGTTGAGCGGTTTTGATATGACCAGTCAAAGGAGATAACCCTTGTAAATTTATTTAACCTTAGAGATTAAAATTTAAAAAAAAAACGTCTTTTCAGGAAATCCACAGAAGAATCTGCAATTTTATCGGTCCTGTCTGACATCTCGTTTTCAATCAGTTTCTCTCTGTTGTTACTTAACTTCCTTTTGAGTTTTCTATACACATTTTCATAGAAATTGTTCTCATGAGCTTTCCTCTTTCGTATCTCGACTTAAGAATTTTAAGGATAGTCATAGATTAGTAGTTAGCTGTCATCATTTTACTGTTGAAATCGCGCAACGCAACAGACAGTTCTATCCATTTTTTAGTCAAATGTCCGGCAAGTATGCATTAAATGCTTTTAGAAAGCCAACGCTATCGACTGAGATGTACGTCTTGACACATGAAACACAGAGAAATTACTGTATAGGTGGATGGGAAATAAGGCCAATCAAAAATGTTGCGATGAGTGTTTTTACTGTGCAGACAAAAGCTAGAAGTTTATTTCAAACACTGAAGTAGTGCCCCGAAGAAGACTACAATCATGAATTTAGCAAATACTAAACCAGCTGAACTTTAGTATGCAGTTTTTGACTTAAAATGTCGAATGTAAAAATACGAAACAAAACAACTTGTAGAAAGATCATATAAATCGTATTAATGGTAAATAAACCGTAAAAGTTATAAAAAAAAATACGATAATGCCTAAAGAATGATAAAAAAAGTTTGAAAAATTAATTACAGGCCGGTTTACGTCTGTGTAAAACATTCGTGGTCGTAAGTCGACGTCAATCTGTATATATTTTATAAATTCAAAATTGTTCGATACTTAATTAAGCATCTTTAATAACGAAGTTAAATAATCTGAAGATATGGTTAAAACTGTTCCCTATTTAATCATTGTTTCGGATTTCATACAAAGAATTTGCTATGATATCTGTCACTTTCTCACAACCATAACAGCTTCCCTGTGCCTTTTCTATAGATATTTTCATGATACCTATTCTGATATGCTTTTTTCTTTGGTGCCTTAAATTTATGAATTTAAATGCAGTAATAGATTGGGTGCTAGGTCTCATTCTTTTACACTTGAAATGGCTAGATGTACATTATTTACATTGTTCAGACTATCGTCCTCATCTTTGTTGCCATATTTTACACAATGTTTTGCCTGTTGCATACTCCGGCCTTCTTCAGGTGGTTGGAATGTTGAACTGAACCCTTTATTTTGCTCGCTGGGGTAAACTGTTCTTGATTCACGTGCCATGTCTAATGGATATCAGTTATCAGTTATCTCCTGTTAATTCCCCTCTCCAAGTTCTCCACTGCCTTAACCAGGTATAGAACTTACATTATTTGGGTCATATCACTGGATCTAACTAACACCTTCATCCATGTGTCCTTAAGGACATCTCTGTATGAATTTCTGGGATTTTCAACTAATTTCAGTCTGTGTACCTCATAAAGTACCTTGTGAAACTTTTACTCGAGTCTATTCATTTATATATATGAGAAGGAAATAAAGAGAATGTAATCTCACCTGATATAAACTCTATTGAATTGACGATCTTGAAGAACAGAGAAAGAATTTGTAAAATAAATTTACGTTGATGGGAACCAGCCATAGATAATATATATATATATATATATATATATATATATATATATATATATATATATATATAGACTGGGGACTGTTTTTGAAGTTAAAATTGCTTATTTTTCAGTGTTTTGCTGAATAAAAGGCCTTTAATGCAAGCTTTGTGAGAGACTAGCACATCCATCGGCGACTTCGGAACAGTTTTCACTCCCAAGGCCTGGATCAATCTATGGTAAGTCATCTTAAATTGATATTAGCCATTAGATTTGACCCCAGGCTCGAAAACGAACACTAACCATTTAGTTCTAGTAGGTATTGAAATATACAGGATGGCAATAAAGTGACTGTACAAAGTTACTTACAATAACAATTAAAACAAAGTCCAGAAATTCATTATTACAATGGTTCCGGTTAGTTCTGGTTAATAACAATAAAACGGAATGGTTATCAATAGTAAAACAATTACCGATGTTCTTCAAACTGCAAACCATCTGCTTCAATGCTTTGCTTTTTTTATTATGAGTAACTTTATAGTGCCTGTATTGCCCAACTGTATATATATATATATATATATATATATATATATATATATATATATATATATATGAGAAGAGAAAGAAAGAGAATGTAATCTTACCTGATTTACACTCTATTGTATCGACGATCTTGAAGGACAAAGAAAGAATTTCTAAAGCCGTGAAAGGTTTTGCACTGATGCGATCGACATTTATAAAGAACCAAGAGACAATAGTCCGAATAATGTAAATAAGGTACATAATACCTCATCTCAGAAATATAGACAGATACTGAAAGGCCGAAACGTTGTAATAAATATGGCGACAAAGATGAGGACAATAGTCCGATTAATGTAAATAGTGTACATAATACCTCATCTCAGAAATATAGACAGATACTGAAAGGCCGAAATGTTGTAAAAAATATGGCGACAAAGATGAGGACAATAGTCCGAATAATGTAAATAGTGTACATAACATCTCATCTCAGAAATATATACAGATATTGAAAGGCCGAAACGTTGTAATAAATATGGCGACAAAGATGAGGACAATAGTCCGATTAATGTAAATAGTGTCCATAATACCTCATCTCAAAATATAGACAGATACTGAAAGGCTGAAACGTTGTAATAAATATGGCGACAAAGTTGAGGACAAAAGTCCGAATAATGTAAATAGTGTACATAATACCTCATCTCAGAAATATATACAGATATTGAAAGGCCGAAATGTTGTAATAAATATGGCGACAAAGATGAGGACAATAGTCCGAATAATGTAAATAGTGTACATAACATCTCATCTCAGAAATATATACAGATATTGAAAGGCCGAAACGTTGTAATAAATATGGCGACAAAGAAGAGGACAATAGTCCAAATAATGTAAATAGTGTACATAATACCTCATCTCAGAAATATAGACAGATACCGAATGGCCGTAACATTGTAATAAATATGGCGACAAAGATGAGGACAAAAATCCGAATAATGTAAATAATGTCTATAATACCTCATCACAAAAATAAAGACAGATACTGATGGGCCGAAATTTTGTAATAAATATGACGACAAAGAAGAGGACAATAGTCCGAATAATGTAAATAGTGTACATAATACCTCATCTCAGAAATATAGACATTGTTGCTGTTAATACAAAATTTCGGCCGCTGTGCCCTCCAGCCTTCATCATGTATATTGATCTGGGTAAGTATACCCAGTAAGACACAAATGGTTACTGAGTGTGAAATCATAAGAAAAAGTGAAACATTATTAAGGAGCGACAACAATAAAAGAGGAATCCTGAAGACAGTCGATTGCATTTGAATTATTGAAGGTCGAAAGCATGGAAGTGGCAGATAGTTTCACAAGCGAGAAGTGCGAGAGAAGAAATTGTTAACATAGAACTTACGGTTGCATCTATTACTGCGCTTATGTTCATAAGTTCTTCAGAACAGTTACTATGTAAATATTTATAGAAAAGGCACAGGGAAGATAGATTACGACAGCGGGTAAATGACTGAAGCCGAGGTGCCAAGTCAGGACCAATAATATTGCGGATTCTTCTTTGGCTTTATCAAAAATCTCTACATATATAGCAGGATTCTGGCCCGACATACTGAACCAACCTCCCTGGCAGCAGAGCTAACAATTGATTCAATATAAACTTTCCACTTCATATCAGCAGAGAATTTTAGCACGAGAAGCCACAACGAGGCACTCTCTTGGAGGTCAGCATCAGCCATGTTTAAAGGAGAGAGTGAGAAGTTTCTCGGATGATTAATAATGAGAAGTTTCATTTTGGAGGCGTTGAAATTAACGAGGCATTCCTTGCCCCAGTTAATAACACATTTACTTTTCTTTTTCTTTTTTTTTAGATCAGCTGAAAATATCACCTTGTCGAATAGATCAGACTTACTACTGCTTCTTAAATTATGCTACATGCACTGGTCACCCAGTGAGTATCAATATCAGTGTAATAATAATTATCTTAGAGAAGAGATTTCTCACATATATTCCACCGTGACTAAATTTACCTATACTTGCCTAATGAATACATGTGTTGCAAAGTCAGCGAAGCTTGTACAGACTATTATATAGGCGTAGATACAAGCTTAATAACTATTGCTACGTGGCGGGGTGCCTATTATTTGAGATATGTCGAAAAAAAAGCATTGAATCATTATAAACACAAAAGCAGAAAAGAAAAATTTATTGAGTAAAAAATATAATGTATGAGCCTGTGACCAGCGGAATGGTCGCCAACAAAAGCAGAGGAAATAATGGACACGAACAAAAGATCAAATCTAAAATAGCGCTTGCAAACAAAAGTCAGTCAATAAGAACTCGATGCCAAACAAAGTCTACTAATGTTGTGTGACTTGACGCAGTGCTTGGGTTTATGAAGGGGCGCTCATCAAAATTTTATTTATAGAAAGAGTTAACAGCAAACACTTTCCAGTGAGAGGGCCAAGAAAAGTTTGGATGTTCAAAAAAAAAAAAAAATTGTGTCAACGAAAGAATAATAAGCCGGGAAATCAGGTTGGTTGAAGCGGACTTGGTGGGAGAGAGTTCGTAATGTGCTTTTTTTATGGGCCAATCGAGAGTCGATATTTGGCCAATGTTCTATTGAAAAAAATTACAATATATACATTTATATACTACAGTTCAAAAATTTTGAAGGCACCTTTGAACTTGACAGAAGAGTGTAAAAAAAGATGGAAAAAACTTCTTACAGTAATTGAAAAAAGAATGGAATCAATTATCAAACTTATACTTTGCGAAACTTTTGCAATGAAAGCCAAAAATTAATCAGTAATCAAGGCTAAAAGAGGATATTTGGAGGAGAACAAAGTTTAATCATAAAATTCTTTTTTTTTAATTTTGTCGTTTTGTTTCCCTTGGTAGCGACTGAAAGAATAGCCGAAATCGCTTGCATTTGCAGAATTTTGGACATTTTTATACACTTTGTGTCGAGAAAATAAAACACATGAAAAATTAAAAAAGCTTAATCAGGGTATTTTTCAAACATGTATAAAAGAGGGATGACTGCCAAAAATACAGAATAAATACACACACACACACACACACACACACACACATATATATATATATATATATATATATATATATATATATATATATATATATATATGGACGGGCATGGGGAGTAGTGTTAAAAGTAATAGATCGATACATAGATAGGTAGATCGATATGAACAGAATGAGATATATATGAAGAGATTACTATATACATACATACATATAGATAGATAGATAGATAGATAGATAGATAGATGAATTGAAGTTTAAAAGCAGTAAAATCGGCCTTTCCAATTGAACGATCCTCCGTGGCTTGATTGGTTAAGGCACGTCAGGCTATATGACGGTTCCATATAGGATACAGGTTCGATTCATGTATT